ACCCTAACCCTAACCCTAACCCTAACCCTAACCCTAACCCTAACCCTAACCCTAACCCTAACCCTAACCCTAACCCTAACCCTAACCCTAACCCTAACCCTAACCCTAACCCTAACCCTAACCCTAACCCTAACCCTAACCCTAACCCTAACCCTAACCCTAACCCTAACCCTAACCCTAACCCTAACCCTAACCCTAACCCTAACCCTAACCCTAACCCTAACCCTAACCCTAACCCTAACCCTAACCCTAACCCTAACCCTAACCCTAACCCTAACCCTAACCCTAACCCTAACCCTAACCCTAACCCTAACCCTAACCCTAACCCTAACCCTAACCCTAACCCTAACCCTAACCCTAACCCTAACCCTAACCCTAACCCTAACCCTAACCCTAACCCTAACCCTAACCCTAACCCTAACCCTAACCCTAACCCTAACCCTAACCCTAACCCTAACCCTAACCCTAACCCTAACCCTAACCCTAACCCTAACCCTAACCCTAACCCTAACCCTAACCCTAACCCTAACCCTAACCCTAACCCTAACCCTAACCCTAACCCTAACCCTAACCCTAACCCTAACCCTAACCCTAACCCTAACCCTAACCCTAACCCTAACCCTAACCCTAACCCTAACCCTAACCCTAACCCTAACCCTAACCCTAACCCTAACCCTAACCCTAACCCTAACCCTAACCCTAACCCTAACCCTAACCCTAACCCTAACCCTAACCCTAACCCTAACCCTAACCCTAACCCTAACCCTAACCCTAACCCTAACCCTAACCCTAACCCTAACCCTAACCCTAACCCTAACCCTAACCCTAACCCTAACCCTAACCCTAACCCTAACCCTAACCCTAACCCTAACCCTAACCCTAACCCTAACCCTAACCCTAACCCTAACCCTAACCCTAACCCTAACCCTAACCCTAACCCTAACCCTAACCCTAACCCTAACCCTAACCCTAACCCTAACCCTAACCCTAACCCTAACCCTAACCCTAACCCTAACCCTAACCCTAACCTAACCCTAACCCTAACCCTAACCCTAACCCTAACCCTAACCCTAACCCTAACCCTAACCCTAACCCTAACCCTAACCCTAACCCTAACCCTAACCCTAACCCTAACCCTAACCCTAACCCTAACCCTAACCCTAACCCTAACCCTAACCCTAACCCTAACCCTAACCCTAACCCTAACCCTAACCCTAACCCTAACCCTAACCCTAACCCTAACCCTAACCCTAACCCTAACCCTAACCCTAACCCTAACCCTAACCCTAACCCTAACCCTAACCCTAACCCTAACCCTAACCCTAACCCTAACCCTAACCCTAACCCTAACCCTAACCCTAACCCTAACCCTAACCCTAACCCTAACCCTAACCCTAACCCTAACCCTAACCCTAACCCTAACCCTAACCCTAACCCTAACCCTAACCCTAACCCTAACCCTAACCCTAACCCTAACCCTAACCCTAACCCTAACCCTAACCCTAACCCTAACCCTAACCCTAACCCTAACCCTAACCCTAACCCTAACCCTAACCCTAACCCTAACCCTAACCCTAACCCTAACCCTAACCCTAACCCTAACCCTAACCCTAACCCTAACCCTAACCCTAACCCTAACCCTAACCCTAACCCTAACCCTAACCCTAACCCTAACCCTAACCCTAACCCTAACCCTAACCCTAACCCTAACCCTAACCCTAACCCTAACCCTAACCCTAACCCTAACCCTAACCCTAACCCTAACCCTAACCCTAACCCTAACCCTAACCCTAACCCTAACCCTAACCCTAACCCTAACCCTAACCCTAACCCTAACCCTAACCCTAACCCTAACCCTAACCCTAACCCTAACCCTAACCCTAACCCTAACCCTAACCCTAACCCTAACCCTAACCCTAACCCTAACCCTAACCCTAACCCTAACCCTAACCCTAACCCTAACCCTAACCCTAACCCTAACCCTAACCCTAACCCTAACCCTAACCCTAACCCTAACCCTAACCCTAACCCTAACCCTAACCCTAACCCTAACCCTAACCCTAACCCTAACCCTAACCCTAACCCTAACCCTAACCCTAACCCTAACCCTAACCCTAACCCTAACCCTAACCCTAACCCTAACCCTAACCCTAACCCTAACCCTAACCCTAACCCTAACCCTAACCCTAACCCTAACCCTAACCCTAACCCTAACCCTAACCCTAACCCTAACCCTAACCCTAACCCTAACCCTAACCCTAACCCTAACCCTAACCCTAACCCTAACCCTAACCCTAACCCTAACCCTAACCCTAACCCTAACCCTAACCCTAACCCTAACCCTAACCCTAACCCTAACCCTAACCCTAACCCTAACCCTAACCCTAACCCTAACCCTAACCCTAACCCTAACCCTAACCCTAACCCTAACCCTAACCCTAACCCTAACCCTAACCCTAACCCTAACCCTAACCCTAACCCTAACCCTAACCCTAACCCT